AAAGGCGTTTGGTCTTCATCAATATCTCAAAAAACTCAAAACCACCAAGTTTTCTTATGGCATAAGTAAGTAAAAAAAAAACAAAAACATAGCACCCGTTGAGGTTTACATTTACGTTAGAATTCTGACATTTAGACAAACCTCGCGTGACGCCGTTTGTCGTACTCACGGGTCAGACGTCTGGCCGGGCTCTGTTGGGCTCTGTGCAGTGAGGGCCTCCCTGTGGGGCCGTCACTGTCTCTGGTCACGCACCTCCCGACAGAGCACTGAGCCCCTCCTGGGCCGCAGACAGAGCAGTCTGCCTGGGACCCAGGGCCACGCTGGTGTGTCTGTCCCCCCGTTTGCAAGGAGACCGGGATTCACTGCCCTGCCTTGGGGCGAGGCCGGGTTCCCTTGGGCACCCCCCCAGCCCCGGGGCAACAGCTGGTGGGCCCACCTGCCTCCGTGTGGGCTTGGCTGCCCGGCAGCGTCCTGGGACCAACAGTGTTTGGCCACGGGTGTGGGTGAGTTTGGGCCAGTGCTGTGCCCTGATGTGTCCCCCAAAATTCATGTGTTGAAATCCTAACCTCCACGGTGGTGGTAGGAGGTGGGAGATCGTGAGGTCGTGAGGGTGGAGCCCCATGATGGGAGCTCCCAGCCCCTCCACCCGGTGAGGACACAGTAGGAACTCTGCGAGCCAGGGAGGCCTCACCTGACGCTGGCTCTGCTGGGCCTTGACCCTGGACGTCCAGCCCCAAGGGGTAAACGTCAGAGCAGCCCCGTCTTCCCCTGGAGGGCGCTTCTCACCTCTGCAGCCTCAAGTGCTGCTGAAGTTCAGGTCCTGTTTCCAAAGGGGAAACGAAACTTCCGGCAAACCAGCAGTCAGGACGGGCTGCCCCTGTGGGCAGCGACCCAGCAAGCAGAGGATGGCTCCCGCCGGGCTGGTGGCCGCTGCCGCGAGGAGCCAGGGTCCCACCGCACCAGGAGCGCGGGGCTCCCCGACGAGGCTCGTCCGGCTCCCCGGCCCTGACAAATACCCCGCTGCGGCCTCCACGGCCACACAGGTGCGGACAGCTCACCCCCGGGCCAGCCGATGCGCGGCCTGAGGAGCAGGGCCATCTGGAGCGGGTGGGGTGCAGCGTGCAGGCGAAGACCCCCAGTCACAGCACGAGCAGCAGGAGCAGGGCCGGCCACGCACCTTCTCCACGTGTTGGGAGGCGGGTGCCGTGACCCCTGAAGGAACGGAGGAGTGGGGACCCGTCCTGTGGGGTAAACTAAGCCGTGGGAGGCAAGAGACGCTGAGCCTCCAGGGCGGGTCTGGGCCCTTTCAGGGGAGAAGGGGCGGCATCTGGCTCCTACAAACATGGGCAGGTTGGAAGCCGGGTACCCTCGGGGAGCGCAAACGCACCTGCAAATCTATGGGGGCCTGGGACCGTCCCCGGACTCCTGGGGCATTCAGCCACCTGCTGGGCAGGGAGCCCCCGGGGTCTCAGCGCCCCCGTACTTCGGGGCCCAAGCTGAGGAGGGACTCAGCTCCAGCAGCCGACCAGGGGGTGAGTAACCCAGCTCCGAAGCTCAGCAGATAATGGGCTGCTGGGAAAACGTAGGGTAAAAGAGGAGGACAGACAGACTGCCTTCCCTCTGCCCCAGCCCTCTGACCCTCCCCCCTCACCTCCCTGCACCAGCCCTCTGACCCTCCCGCCTCCCTCCCTGGACCAGCCCTCTGACCCTCCAGCTTCATCTCCCCGCCCCAGCCTTCTGGCTGCCCTGTGATTGCACCTGCTTGTGAATAAAGCATTGGCAAGCTTGGCCCAGACAGCCGTCCCCAATCTAGCTACAGGGAGTGGGGTCCCATCTGGACTGACTTGGCACATAAAGAGGTGACCAGACAGAATGGGAAGAGGCCCGGCTGAATCAGGGAGCAGCTGGGTGCACCCGCAGAAGCATCAAGACAGCAAGTCTGGAGAACTGTGATGTCCTGGGGGGTTTCGGAGATGGGAAATGTGCAGACCTTGTCCTGAGGCCAAAGAATCGTTCAGTGTAGCGGGACTCATCCGGGGGGTGACATCAGGCCTCCCGTGATGGGGGGGTGTCCTGGTGCTCTTGAGGAGGAGAGCCACACGGGGTGGTGAGAAGGCTTTCCTACAGCTGTCCTCTGCTTGTGCCCTCCGTGTCCTCCACACCCCCACTTCCTGTCTCCCCATCCTGGGTGGGGACGGCCCCACCTCCTGCCCCCCATCCTGGTCAGGGCGCTCTCACTTCCTGCCTCCCCATCCTGGTCAGGGCGCCCTCACCTCCCCATCCTGGTCAGGATGCCCCACCTCCTCCTGCCCCCCATCCTGGTCAGGGCGCCCCACCTCCTCCTGCCCCCCATCCTGGTCAGGGCGCTCTCACTTCCTGCCTCCCCATCCTGGTCAGGGCGCCCTCACCTCCCCATCCTGGTCAGGATGCCCCACCTCCTCCTGCCCCCCATCCTGGTCAGGGCGCCCCACCTCCTCCTGCCCCCCATCCTGGTCAGGGCGCTCTCACTTCCTGCCTCCCCATCCTGGTCAGGGCGCCCTCACCTCCCCATCCTGGTCAGGATGCCCCACCTCCTGTCTCCCCATCCTGGTCAGGGACCCCCACCTCCTCCTGTCTCCCCATCCTGGTCAGGGCGCCCCACCTTCTGTCTCCCCATCCTGTTCAGGGTGCCCCACCTCCTCCTGTCTCCGCCCCCTGGCCCCTTGTCAGGGGGCAGCTGGTGGGGGTTGGCTGGATCAGACCCCCCCCCCCCCCCACGCTGACCTGCAGATGTTCCAGAGCCCCTGCAGGGACCCAGTTTTGACTTGATCCGCTTGGGCTGTTCCTGCACGGCCTCCTGTGTCTGCCCCTTTGGCTGAGAGCACAGTCTTTTCTGCAGTCTGAGCCTTTGGGGACGCATTTTTCTGAGATCACCGTTTCCTCTGCAGCCCTGCTTCAGATGGGGCCCTGCAAGAAGTCCCTGTTCCGGTAGAGACGGAATGTCCTAAGGGCCGGGCCGGGCCAGGCCCACTGCTGCCCCGTGAGCCCCCAGGCCATGAAACCAGCAGCCGCGCAGTGGAAGATGCACACCTGCCCCAAAAGCCGGGATGAGGCCTCCTCTCAGGGACCCTCTTCCTGGTTCCGTGAACCCCGGGCCTGCGGGGCTTGCTTCTGGGGGGGCTGGTTGGTGCTTTAGCGCAGCCCACATCAAGACGGAAGGCCTTCCCCTCGTCAGGAGTGGGTGACTCGCTTCACTTTCTGGGGTATTTTTGACCAGCTGTAGAAAATGGGATTTTTGCTGGGGCGCCTGGGTGGCTCAGTTGGTTGGGCGACTGCCTTCGGCTCGGGTCATGATCCTGGAGTCCCGGGATCGAGTCCCGCGTCGGGCTCCCTGCTCGGCGGGGAGTCTGCTTCTCCCTCTGACCCTCCCCTCCTCTCATGTGCTCTCTCTCTATCTCATTCTCTCAAATAAATAAAATTGTTAAAAAAAATAAAAAGAAAATGGGATTTTTGCAAATGGAGTCATCCTGTTTGATTTTCCAAATCACGTCCTTAAGCATCTTCTGTCAATCAGTATTTTGTACATTCAATTTGGAAAGTGTGTCCCAGATCCAGAGGAAAGTGGGATCACTTCTAGCCAGTTTTCTCACCCGTAAAACGGACATCATTTAAGCCCTAGAGAACTTGCAGTTTTTTGGCGACTTTTGGATCTTACGGGCACAAAAACTGGGTTTTTCTATGGGTAAGTGGCTTGGGAGTCGCTGACGTCACCACTGAGTAGAACCTTCTGTTACACGTTTGACCCTGCAGGTGTCCTGAGAGAGGCAGACGGTGTGCACGCTGCACCCATTGCACTTACGTCGCTGAAGAAGCCTGACTGTCGGAGGACACGAGCCAAAGACCCCGTGTTGGGACTGTTTCTAGGCAACTGCCCTTCCACACCCCATGTGCGGGTTCTGATTCAGGGCATGGAGCACTTCTTGCTCTCCAGAACCCTTGTCTTTCACGCCCCCCAGCAGCCCCGTGCACACACACGCACGCCCTGTGCACAGTCTGGGGCTTGCACGCCCCACTCCGTGCTGGCTGTGCATGCCTGCCTGCAAGGGGCCGTTGGGGCAGTGTTTATTCGGGTGGAAGAAGACGAGACAGCCGGCCAGAGCTGCCCCTCTGCTGGGGTCTGGCAGCACTGTGTCCCTGCTGCCTTTCTCCAGAGCCTCGGAGAGAATTAACCCTTGGAAAGCAGGTTGGTGACTCTTCGGTGTCTGTCAGCTTATGTTGGCTTGAAGGCACGTTTCTGCAGCCTCTTCATGGCCTGAGAATACCACGTTGGTCCTTCCAGGTGGATCCAGGTGCGTCCCCGCCCTCCGGACCCGCAGCAGGTGACTCGTCCCCTTGTTCCTCCTCCGAGGGTGCCGAGCCCTGGGTCCCCAGCGAGAAGGTGCGGAGCCAGGGCAGGAAGCGGGGGGCCGTCATCTTTGGCACCTGTCACGTGAGGGCTGTGAGCTCTGCCGACCTCGCACGGTGACCGGACGTCCACGCGTGTGTCTCGGAGCTGTCCCATTGCCCCAGCACGGCGTCTGCGCGCTCCGTGCGCATCTGAGTGGGACTCCGTTGGAGTGATGTCTCGCCGCGCCCCTGTGGGCAGAGCATGTGGACACAGCTCCGGGGTTTTATTAACGCCAACCGCCGTGTGAGGAAGACGGTCTAGATCCCGCTGTGTTCGGAGAGCTCAGGTGTCTGGCCAAAGGGGACGCGGCGAGGAGCAGCGGAAACTGGTCGCCGGTGACCCACAGCCGACTGGAGTCGGCCCACGTCCAGGACCAGAACTGCCCGGCACTGGGATGGCCGGGGGTGGGAGGGGAGCTTCAGGGAAGGAGGGGGAGGTGCAGACCCTTGGCTGGGGCTCCGCGCGGCCGGGATTGTGTAACCCGGGCTGCCTGGAGCCCGGCCAGGCCGCGGAGCAGACACGCAGAAGGGCTGGAGGCAAAACCACACAGAAACTGCCCACAGAAATCAGAGGTTTTCCGTGAGTTAGGAACTGTCCCCTCGGTGGTGGCTGTGAACTGCCGGGGATAACTCATCACCCCGAAGAGTGGCTTGCTGGCTGGAGATTTCTGCCAGGTCGCCACAGACCAGCCTGTGCGGAGCGTGGCCGCTGAGCCCCGGAGAACTAGCTGCCTCCTGGGAGGACAAGCAAACACGCGGCTGGTGCAGTGCTCCAGAATGCTGCGTGATGGTTGAAGCAAAGCCCAGGGAGGCGGTGGTGAGTGTGGGGGAGGAGCGTGAGATGCTGGCGGAAGAGGAGGGGATGTGCCCTGGGTCCCCACGGGTCCTGCTCCAGTACAGCGGCTGCATGCAGAGCTGGGGGCACCCCGGGAAGGGAGGATGCAGGAATCTGAGAAGCGACCAGTAAAGTGGTCCCCCCCAGGCTGACAGGTGAATTCTCCGAGGTTCTGTGCAGGGGTGTGGTGCGTGGCTTGCACACACACATGCAGAGAGAAAGCACTGTGCGCCTTGTTCCAGGTCGGTGAGTAATGGAGGAGTTGTTTATTTTCTGCTTATCAAAAAATCATTGCTTGCTTTTTTTGTTGTTGTTCCTGTGGGGTGCCCAATGTGTGGGATTCCTGTCCCATGGCCTCTGGTTCAGTGGTTCTCCACCAGGGGCGATTAGCCCGCCCCCCAGGGACATTTGGCAACGTCTGGAGACATATTCATTGTCGTTAGCTTTGGGGGGCAATCACAGGAGTGGACGGGGCAGCAGTCTGGCAGGGATCAGGGATGCTGCTGGGCGCCCCCGGTGCTTGGGACAGCCCCTCGTCAGCCGTGCCGTGGCTGAAACACCAGGTCTCCATGTTCCTCCACTCCCCTGGAGATCAGTTGCTTGATTTCTTTTTTGGGTGTGAACATATGGGATTCCTGCTCTGTTCTCAGAGGTCCCGGTCTCCTTACTGCGTCTGTCTGGCTTCAGCGCTGTTGTTCTAATTTGAACATAAATTGTTTGGGGTGGGGCCTGAGTGGCTCAGTCAGTTAGGCACGGGACTCCTGACCTCGGCTCAGCTCATGATCCCAGGATTGTGAGGTCGAGCCCCGTATGGGGCTTCATGCCAGGTGTGGAGCCTGCTTGGGGTTCTCTCTCTCGCTCGCTCTCCCTCTGCCCCCCACCCCAGCTCATGCTCATGCTCACGCACTCTCTCTTGCTCTAAAAAAATAAAAATTAAAACGTTAAAAAACATTAAAAAATACCTTGTTTAGGTCCCAACGCGGAACTCTTGATACAGACTAACAGGTGTGAACAGAGCAATTAGCCCATTTAAGCAAGACATAATATAGTGGTGAATTTATAGAAAAGAGTGGATGTGGATTTGTACTCAGCCGAGAGAGGAAGAGAAACTCCTGCTGGCCACACCCCGTTTTAGGCACGTTCCACATGCGCACGTCCAGATTTACACAAGTGGTAGGTTTGGGCTTGGTCTCCCACAGAGTCAGAGTTTCGAGACTGACTCCACTACGGAATTCCTCAAGGGACAGAATTTCTTTAGACAAGGATCCACAGGCTGGGTTTTGTGGATCCCTAGGGGCCGTGGTCGACCGTCAGGGGCTATGAATTTCCAGGAAGAATATGCAACTGGTGTGCTGGGTGGTGTGTGTGTGTCTGCATTTCCCGCCCCAGGAAAAAGCTCACACATTCCTTCTGTCCAAATTAGTGACCAGAAAATTATTGGAAGCCACCCTCCTGGTTTGTGTCTGCACTCTGAAACTTTTCACTTCTAAGAAAAAACAGATGAGGGGTTAAAACCAGAGGCTTTGAAATTCAAGATTTTATTTATTTATTTTTATTTGTCAGAGAGAGAGAGAGCGAGCACAAGCAGGGGGAGCGGCAGAGGGAGAAGCAGGCTTCCGGCTGAGCAGGGAGCCTCATGTGGGGCTGGGTCCCAGGATCCCAGGATCATGACAGGCACACGCTTCACCGACTGAGCCCCCCAGGCGTCCCAGAGGCTTTGAAAGTCAAATGGGAGCTTTACCACTTAGGTTTGCTAAACGTCCCGCTTTGGGCGAATTACGTCTTTGAGCCTCATTTCTGTCATCTGTGAAATGGACTTCGTTCCTGCCTCATAAGGGCGAGAGGATTTAATCAAAGTGATGGGTGACGGTCTCCCTCGGCACCGGGCATGCGGTCCGTGTGCAGTAGGCTGCTGCTGTGGCTGAAGGATGCTCTTTCCCTCTGGACCTCCGTGTCCGTCGTGCGGTCCTGCCATCTGTGGTTATTCTGGCGATCCACGATTTTCCCACTTCTGGTCGGATAGGTTCATTCTCCCAACTAGACGTGCTCGCCTGCGGTGGGCGCGGGCTGGGAGCTGCCCACGCGGCTGGGACGGAGCCCGCTGTCCGCGCCGTGCGGGGCGGCTACGTAGCTCTCGCCCATCCCAGCGTGCTGGTGGCGGGCTGAGTCACGGCCCCCCCAGATGGCCACGTCCTCGTCCTCGGCTCCCGTGAATGTGTTTCCATAACGCAGCCAAAGGGACTTAGCAGAGACTAAATTAAGGATCTTGGGATGCGGGGAGGAGCCTGGATCATCGGGGCCCAGGCACCATCGCGAGGGTTCTTGCAGGGGAGAGACAGGCGGGTCAGAGAAGCAGACAGGCCTGGGAGGGGCCGCAGGGGGCCGGCGCTGGCCGTGAAGGCGGAGGAAGGGGCTTCGGCCCGCGGGGATCGCGAGCGAACAGGTTCTCCCCTCCAGTCTCCAGAAGGAACTGGCCCTGCCAACATCTTGACTTCAGCCCAGCGAGGCCCGGGTCGGGTTTCCCACCTGCAGAACCGTAAGAAACGAATTAGGAGTGTCTGGTGCCACCCATTTTCTGGCGATTCGTCATGGCAGCCACGGGGACCCCATACAGTCCTGTAGGTTAGACACACAGGTGTTTATCGCTTGGGACTAGGCCCGACAGAGGCGCGATCCGACGGGCCTCCACACTGGGGTCTCTGAGAAGGCTTCAGTGTTCTGTTTTCACTGTGGGGGCCATAAAAGCCTTCCAGGGTGAAGGGGAGGCAGCACAGGAAAGCAAAGAGTCCAAAGGGTCTTTTACCACGGGGACGAAGGGATGAGGAGGTGGCTTCTTCAGGCACACAGCCCGCAGTTGGCGCCGGGCGACCGCCAGCCCCACGCACCTGCCGTCTGCACGTGTCCCAGCAGCTTCTCCAGCAGCTGCTCTCTGTCCGAAAATCACTCCAGCGCCACCTGACCCAGGAGGGCTCCCCGATGGCCCGGCCTCCGCTTTCTCCCAGCGGGGCCGCGGTCCGGGGTGGACAGCTCCGGGTCTGGGACCTGCTCCCTGGCTTCCTGTTCTGTCCTGTCTGCTTCGCCTGCTCAGAGCAGGCGGCAGGAGGGGCGAGGGTGACCTGGCCTCAGCAGGGGGCTCCTGCAGCCTGGGGGTTTCCAGCGTCCAAGGACTCAGCACAGGTAAGGGCAGACCCCAAACGCAGGCCCCTTGACCCCCGGCCAGAGGCCTTGTGGACATGACACGTTGCTGTTCCCCAGGGCAGCTGTGGTGAGGTTCGGGAGGCATACCCAGCTCTCGCATCCCCTGGCCTGCTCCACAGCCCGAGCTCCACCTGCTGCGTCTTTGCAGGGGACCCCGTATGCTCGCACAGTCCTGCAAGGTGAGGGTGCTAAGTCCCAGGGGGCCCGCACCATCCCTTCGGAACGCACCCTCCTACGATGCTCCCCGTCCCCTCGGAGGCCCGAGGCCCAGGGCCCGAACTTGTGGCCGGGCAGGGAGGAGCAGGGGGCCCCGCGGAGAGGCCTTGCTTGGCGGGGGAGAGGAGACGGATGGAAACAAGGGCACGGTCGAGCCCCGGGATGTTCAGCAGAGTCTCTGTGGGCCTCATTCCCTAAACAGACTCCTCCGAGGTAATCACATGCAGCTGGTTTTGTTTCTTTGTTTTGTTTTGTTTTTTCAGTTTTAAGAGCAAAACAAGACACTTTCAAGGGGAAATAAAAGGCACAAAGAACAAAACAATCAGGCAGAGCTGATTCTGGAGATAGGTGGCATATGTCTTCCTCTCTCTTTCTCTGAGGGGCCTGCTATGCACTGAAGGTCTGGACCCCCAAATTCCGGGGGCCCGGCTGCAGCCCTAACCCCAGCAGGGCGGCACCTGGAGAGGGGTCTTTGGGGGGCAAGCAGGGGCGAATGAGGTCATGAGGGTGGGGCCCGGACTGGGGTGAGTGTTCTTATCAGAGGAGGAGACCCCAGAGCTCAGTCTCGGCCACGTGAGGACACAGCCAAGGACCCCCGTCCCTAGCGCCGACCCGCCGCACCCCGATGACCCTGGACTTCCTAGCCCCCAGACGTGGGAGAAGTGAAGGAAGGAAGCATGGTGGTATTGTTAGGGCAGCCGGGCTGACTAAGGCAGGGCGGGAGGGAAATGCGCAGCTACAGTCCGTTCACCCCGCAGACAAGCTGGGAGCGGGTCCCTGCGCCCGAGCCCCAGCAGGCAGGGGGGGGCAGACCCCCATCCAGCGGCTTTGGGAGCTTGTAGCCACCCAGCAGCAGAGAATGGGCAAAGACGTCGAGGAAAGGAGGTAGAACAGGCCTCCGACGTGAGGCGCAGGTGGGAGCGCTGAGGGGGCCTGGGGTGCGTCCGGGGGAAGGGCTGCTGACACGACAGGTGGGGGGGCCCCAGGTAATGCAGCGGGTCGTGTGATGACATTCTAGCACCAGACCTTTGTCTGAGGGCTTCAGGAGGCTCCGAGCGCCGTCTCGCCGGAAGGGTCCAGAGGGACGTGCGTGCTGATGATTACAGGTGGTTTCCCAGGGGGTCCCCTCCCACGGAGGCTCCAGAGCGGGACCCTACCGGGTGCCCAGGGTGGGGAGACCCAGCAGGAAGCAGAGGCCCCTCAGGAGGAAGCAGGTGGAGCTGGGAAGGGTGGTGGCCAGTCCCAGCCCAGCCCGCCCCTCCCCTGCCCTCTGGCCGCCTGGATCTCTGGCTGCAGAACAAAACAGCTCGGAGAGGGGGGTGGGGCAGCCAGGAGGAGGGGGGCACCCTCCCCACGCGGTCCCCCCACCCCTGCCGCCTGCTTCCCGGGAGGCTGAGAGCAGTAGCCGGGGCGGAGGGAAGCAGCAGCGTCCAGCACCTTTGTCAACGTAAAATCAGGAGCATCCCCATGTCCCAGGAGGCTGAAGTTTCAAATAGGCCATCCCGGTTTGGTTTCCTGGCACCCACTGGCACCCACTGGAATCCCAGCGAGTAGCAGGAAAGAGCCGTCTGGTGGCAGGCTGTCGGATTCTGCGTAGATTTACTGCTCAGACGTTCCTCCCCTGGCCCCAGACTAATTTTTCACAAGTGCATTGCCTGAGTCCACGACAGGACATCGTCTGGCAAGACGGTGGACAGGACAGTTCCACCTGTGGCCACCCTGGGTGCTGTGGTCTTGGGCTTCGCAAGGACGAGCCAACGGCCCGCTCATCCGCAGACGGGGCCTGTGGGTGGCGGGAGGGACAGCCTGGGCCACGGCCGCCTCCCAG